CATCATTTTCTGGTCTCTGAACATAGACCAAGGCATGTGCACATCTGCATTCACACACATACACAGGCACACACAGGCACACACATGACTTTCAGGATTGTATAAATACTCTTTTGAAAACTAATATGGGTTTGTATGTTGTTTGTCTGAAGGATAATTGCAGAATAAATATGCACAAAATATGTATATGGTATTTATATGCTACAGGATCATTAGACAAGTATTTGTTGACTCTCTGTCTAACCTTTCATTCTCCATTTTCTTATGCTTGAACTAAAACTAATTTTCTTCTTTTGTCCATCTCTGGAATTTGCTCTAGATTCTATCAGCAAAGATTACTGGAGAGATAGAGGAAAGCAAGAGTATAAGAAAAGATCCTATTCTGTATTGTTGACTTACCTTGCCATCAGAGTTTCTTTCATTTTGATATGCAGTTGGTTCCCATCTCTTGTTCATTATATTCTCATACTTTATGCCTCCCAAGAGTGCAAGTTTCAAACAAACATTACATCCTCAATATGTGGTCCCCAATATGTCAGAGCAATCATTCAATCAATCCCCTGAGGGCGGAGCCTCAGCTCTGAAAACCCAAGGAGCTGAGTTACAGGACCAAGCATGGATCAATTCTCTTAGAAGGTATGGTTCCAAGATCCATTGGATTTCTTCACAGAGGGATAAGTGATTGTTACAAGCTAGATGGTGTCCAGTACTTGGATGGTAGAGTCCTGATCTATGAGGCCTCTTTCCTAGATGTCTAAATTCTATAAACCTCTCCATTCCTTCACGTTATCTGCTTCCTAGAGTTAAAACTTATGTGTGGCTTAGCAGACTTTCACACATTCAATCCTCTCTATTGTAGTGCATAGTTTGATTTCTATTTTACATTTATAATATGGTTTCTAGTAGCTGTGAGAACAAAAATCCCCATCCACACACTCAATTCCATGTCTGCTTAATTGGGAACTAATAGAGGGAATCATGTAAATAGTAGCTAAACTGGTGTTTCCCAAATTGTTTTCTAGGGAATTCTATTGCTAAGATTTTCTTTTACAAAGTGAATTTCGTAGTCATAAGGAGGTAGGAAATGGTATCTTCCCACAGCAAACTATTAGCATCTTGGCACACATGAGTGCAATAAAGACTGTGGGAAGTCTAGCAGAAGAGAAACCTGTTTTAATATTGACTCAGCATCTCTTCTCCAAATTATTTAACTGGGGAAACTGTTTTCTTTTCAGTTAGTCTCTATTACCATCCCAGGGCATACATTGAGAAATACCATTCTCTAGAATTCCATGAAAGTCAGAAGCTTTACAATTTGAAGGAGTTACTTTTTCAATATCCTTTTATTGGCAAGGTATCTTTAGGCCTTATATCTTTTTATTTGTGTTTATACTGTAAAAAGAGATTAATGTTTTCATTGTTTTAAGATTCAGAATGAAGATGAGAAATGCTATGGAAAATGTCATTTTCATAACAGTCATTTTCCAAAAGAACAATAATGGGAAATGAAATAGAGTGTGAGAGAGCACTGGAGAAAAGGCAAGAAGAATCATGTGAAATGCATCCTTCCCCTTTCTCCCTCCATTCCTCCTCCATGCACCTTTCCTTACTCTCTTTAAAATTCTTGGCATCTAGTTTTTTTAAAAATTATTGTTACGTGTTTAGCTGTGGGTGTCTGCTTCTGCTTCCACCAGTTTCTGGATGAAGGCTCTAGGATAGCATATAAGTCAGACATCAATCTCATTATCAAGGGAGGGCATTTAAGGTAGCCTCTTCTCTGTTGCTTAGATTGTTATTTGGGGTCAACCTTGTAGATCTCTGGACATTTCCCCAGCACATGATTTCTCTTTAAACCTAAAATGTCTCCCTCTATTATAGTACCTCTTATCTTGCTCTCCTCTATTCTTCCCCCAACTCAACCTTCCTGCTCCCTCATGTCCTCCTCATCCCTCCTCTTCTCCCCTTCTCATTCTCCTAGCTCCCTCCACCTCCCCCATGCTCCCAATTTGCTCAGGAGATCTTGTCCCTTTCCCCTTCTCTCGTGGAACATGTATGTCTTCTTACAGTCTTCCTTTTTTCCTACCTTCTCTTGCTGTGTGGATTGTGTGCTTGTAATCCTTTGCTCTGTGTCTACAATCCATATATGAGTATGTACATACCCTGTTTGCATTTTTGTGACTGGGTTACCTCGCTCAGAATGGTTTTTTCTAGTTCCATCCATTTGCTGGCGAATTTCAAGATTCCATTGTTTTTTGTTTGTTTGTTTGGTTTGTTTTTTGTTTTCCTGCTGAGTAATACTCCTTTATGTAAATGTACCACATTTTCTCTATCCATTCTTCAGTTGAGCAGCATCTAGGTTGCTTCCAGGTTCTGGCTATTACAAATAATGCTGTTATAAACATTGTTGAACAGATGTCCTTGTTGTATGAATGTACTTCTTTGGGGTATATGCTTAAGAGTGGAATTGCTGGATCTTGTGGTAGACTGATTCCCATTTTCCTGTGGAATCTCCATATTGATTTCCAAAGTGTCTGTATGAGTTGGCACTACCACCAGCAGTGGAGGAGTATTCCCCTTTCTCCACATCCTCTCCAGCATACACTGTTATTGGTGTTTTTGATTTTAGCTATTCTGACAGGAGTGAGATGGTATCTCAGAGTTGTCTTGATTTTCATTTCCCTGATGGCTAAGGATGTTGAACTGGAATCCAGTTGCAGAGAAGGAGGAATGATGAGCAAAGTGGTCCAGACCAGGCTGGTGAAACCCACAGAAACAGCTGACCTGACCAAAGGGGAGCTCTTGCTCCCCAGACTTATAGCTGGGAAACCAGCTTGGGACTGATCCTGACCCCCTGAATGTGGGTGTCAGTGAGGATGCCTCAGAAATCATGGAACCTTCTGTAGTAGATCAGTACTTACCCTAGCATAGGAGTGGACTTTGGGAGCCCATTCCACATAAAGGGATCCTCCCTGAGCCAAGGCACTGGGGGTGGGCCTCGACCCTATCCCAAAGGATATGACAGACTCTGAAGAAACCCTATGGAAGATTGACATGTAAAACAATCTTGTTTCTAATTCAAATAAAAATGGAAAAATTATTGTTATGTATATATGTAACATACATACACAAATATGTAAATATAACCTGCTCAGTCAATATTCTATTACTTGTATGTATATGATTTCACAGCTGACCACTTGGTATTAGATAACCAATTGGGACTCCTCCCTTGGTGCTTTGATTTCTTCATCTTTAAATAGAGAAAAATAGAATATGCCTGACAGAATTGAAATGAAAACTCAGTATTGTCTAGCTTAGATGGTGATGGAGACCTACCTGCTTTTAATTACTTAATATACTCCCTAAAGCAGAAATGGACCATGAGTAATTCATATCATTACACCATTTTTGTTTATATGAATAAATGACATATTTTTCTTCCAGT